TCTGCAAGCGTTTTTGCTTGAATCTGGAGCACTCTGAACCGATGGTCCTTGGTCCTCTCCGGACTGCGTGGGCAAAGAAAGACCCCATTGGTGCCACTATCCCGCAGGGAATCATCAAGCACCGAGTCAAGCACTTGTGCGTAAGCCAAGAAGTACGAGGCACCGGGGTCCGAGGGCGGGATTCGCTTCCTATCAGGCGCAAAGAAAGCTTTAGACCACGAGCGAAGGATAGAGCCTTGAGGCCGAAGCGCACGTATGGCCTTTGTGACAACGGACATGGGGTCCATTGCAACGTTCTGCCACAAGACATCCGTGTGCTCCTTGAGCAGTTTGATCTCAATGCACGTTGTGGCAGGCATGTCCAAGTGGGTCTGGGCACGCTGCAAGTTAAGATCGTACTTGACCTCACCAAAGTTAACCACGGACGCGCGGAGGATGATGGGAGTTTCTCCATGCACAGCTGGCAGGTCACAATGATGGACTCGGTCAGTGTACCTGTGCTCAAACTGGGTCACACAAACAACCAACATGGCATCGACTGAGAGCGGGGACGGGGGCATGAACGCTTGCAGCTGGGACCACCCCATCACGTACAACCCCGGACCATCGTTTGGAAACCGAGAGGCCTGGCGAGCAACGAGAGAGCTCCTGTTCTCAAGGTTGAACAAGTCAGGCTTGACAACTACGACGGATGGGTCGATGAGCGAAATGGGCACCCCCCCTTTGCGAGGTTCCCGTGTTCTTTTTTGGCGATTGTTGGACTCAGCAGGCTGTGTCTTCTTACTCTGCTGGTGTACACGTAGCTCCTGCACATGTACCAGCCTGACTTTGTGCTCACTAGCCTTATCCTTAAGGTCCTGCCATGGGTTGGTGGATTTGAGGATACCACGGATAAGGTCCAGGCCAATGGCGTCAACGACCTGTTTAGATCGACTGGCAATTGCGTCTGCTGGCACCCCATGTTCCAGGAGGAGTTTGGCGACACCCCTCCTTGACAGCAGCATCCCCGTCTTTCTGACCTCCACCGAGCAATGGGAAGGCCCGGAAGCGTAGCACAGAGTTAGTGAAGAACCTGCATTGGATTGTGTCCTTCACCGGCTTGGCATTGCACCATGGCTGACACGCCCTCAGCGGGAGGCCATACAAGGAACTCAGCATTGCACGGAGTTCCCCTACAGTGGCATCAGCCCTCACACGGATGGTTCTGGGCACTGATTGATGAGGCATGGCAACCTCAAGGTCAACATGGTGAAAACCACGCAAACACAGCGCGTTGGCAAGGCCTCTGATTACGACACATACTACGACGCACAGCACGACAGCCGGCAACACAGCCGCAGGGAGGAACGCAGCGGCGCAGCTTGTCAACACCGCTAAGACACTCAGGGAGGTCTTCTTCCACTGCAACCCAAAAGGCTGCACACACGCATCACTCCAGCTGGTGGCAATGTAGAGTTTCCGAAAGCTTTGACGCGCCTGGTAAGTGGGTTCACAGTGATGAGTGGCATGCCAGCGCGAAACACGTGGACGACACCACAACCGGCAGCAAACTTGGATGGTCGACAAGCCAAAATGGCCGAGACGGTTCCAGGCTTCACCAAGGGTTTGGCCAATAGGGGCACAGAGCAGCAATGTCCCGTGATAGGCACACGCAATGCACAGTACGGCTGGGATGGCGACAACTGCATAGGCGCACCAGAAAACCCAGCCACAAGGCGGCTCACCAGGATTCGTCGCCGAAGCACACGTACTTCCATACCGTGCGAGGTACCAGGCACACAAGACAACCAGGCAGGCAATCCTAATCGGGGCGAAAGGCAGCTCATGATGCAGGGTCGGCTGATGGACCTGGTTGGACACTGTTCCAAAGCCAGGCGTCAGTCCAGGTCCGGCATGTATATCGTCATTTTGGCATGGTGCTGTAATGTGGTCATCAACGGACGATACAGACATGCACTCAACCTCAGTGCGTACGAAATGCACACGTGGGGCTGCTGTATTGGCACACAGGGCATCACTACTTGGAGAATGCTCACAATCCTCCGGACGGGATGATTGGCAAGGAGACTCAGGGCAGCACCGCCCTTTTCCTGGCAAATGGATTGGCTTGCATCGGATCACAGCTCCTGGGAACAACTGGCCCACGTCCTCACACACCTTACCATTAATGCAACATTTGAATGTGGCTTCGGGAAGGTCAAGGGTTTTGGCAGTCCGTAGCTTCAACAGGCAAAGGTCCCACTTTGGGTGGACCTTCATGGGCACCGTCTTGGATTTGAAAGGATGAACAGCAAGCACCTGGAACGTCCCCTCCAGACCATGCGCAAGGACAAGATTGGGAGGCAACACAGGCTGCTGAGCAGCTGGGACACCATGGGTGCACACAATTGGTTGGTCCGGCGGCCATGTGATGGGCCATTCGTCATCTCTTACAACTCTATCCTGCACGGTGACGTGGAGGAGTCCTACCCGCACTCCAGCCAGGGCCGCAACATGTGCTTTGATGTCAGCACATGTCCACGTGGCATCAACACTGATGGACCCTTGGAGATCACAGGAGCTCATGACAAAGCGCCGTATCGCAGTCACGAAGTGCACTGTCAGCATCAACATGGGCTCGAACACAACCCTTGTGGTCCAGGAGACAGGATGGCTGTTGGCCCAAAGGGATCGGACCATGTCAGGACCCACATGCGGCAGGACATCTTTGACAACATCACCCAGCATTTCCCCAGAATACGCCGTGGTACACTTCCACCAAGAAGCACTTGTGGCAGTCACAACCGTTGGGACTTGGGTGCTCAACGCAAAGGATGTCCAGTCACGAGGCAGGCAGCACGGATCGCTTGATTCACACGTGAGCCTATCTGACAAATGTGCCCTAACATCACGGAGAGGCAACTCACTTGGGAAAGCCAGGAACTTCAGTCTTGGAAGACACACCGTCTCACCAAAAATCGGATCACCGTCAGGCAGGAGCCGAGGGGCACAGGACAGTTCAGTCTTAGCCCTTTTTGCAGGCTGCTCGCTCAGCAAATCCGACATGGACCTCTTGCGCTGCTCAGGACTACACTCATGGTCAGAATCCTCAACGACGAACGGGATGGTAGGGGAAATGGAATCACACACCACCTGCAACTTCCAGAACCCGCCATCAGCGATGATGCGACACTGGGACAGCGAAGGCCTGCACTTGGCAACGTAATCCAAAGTGGACATGGGGTCAGCCGACAGTTTGGCACCAAAGACACACAAGGTCACAAGGGTCACAAAGGCGGCATGCACAGGTGCAATGGAATTACCAATGTGCTTCCACCCCTCAGCAAGCGGCATCATGATCTTGGCATTGGGCGGGAAGCCCAACATCACAGCAACTTCCCACGGATGGAAGTACCTCGGATTGTTGCGTGGCAACTCATGCTGGTGGCCATATGAGGCCATGGGTGATCCTGGGGTCACAAATTTGGTCTTCACACGCCACGCAAGCACATCACATGGGTTCCGGAGTTCACCCCTCACAGTCGGGGGCAGCAACTCAGGATCGCTCAAGAGGGCAATGGCTTCTCGGGATGGTTCAAGCTCACTACGCTGCTCGGGCGACAAATGCATGGCAACTGCTTCACCCCGGAAGAGTGACAGACCTCCACTGCTTGCTGGCAACCTGATAACTACATTCTGCTCCTCAGCGAAGTGCGCCGCAGAGTTCTGATGGACAAACACTGCAAGCCACCTAGACCGATCAATTGGCAAGACATGTTTCAACGCTACCTTGGTTTCCTGCGCAATGAAATACCCCAGAATGGGCAGCATGGCACACACACACTGCCAGTGAGGATGCTCTGTGATGGAGGGGACATTCTCCATCGTAATGTGCATGGCAATATGCCCCATGATGCGGAGGAAAAGCACAAGAATCCATCCCTCAGAACAGTTCAGACCTTTCGCGTTTGCAGCAGTGCTCCAAGGTGGACAAGGGGGGCTCGCAAACGCATGCTTGACTCCCATGATTGATGCTGCAAGATGAATCCTCAAATCCGTAACACACCCAAGCACAACAAAGCGCTTATGGCTACAGAAAGCTGGATCTGCAACAAGACCGGCAGTGAGGTCCTCAGGCGTAATCAGGGTGAAATCGTGGTTGGCTGCAAAGGCTTTGGCTGCATTCTCGTTGTGCTCAACTGCTAGCACCGTATGGCCACTGATGCCCTGACGATTCAAGGCCTGCAGGCCGAATGACCAGCCGCCCATACCACCAGCAAAAAATTCGACAAAGGCAGGCTCTGAGTTCACAAAGGCATGCTGGTCAACCTGAGCAATCATCCCTTCCGATACTGTCAGCCTCGGGATCTGCAGGATGGGCAAGGATGTCCCTCCCGCTGCATCGTGGTCTCGGACTCGCATGGCACTGAACACCGCAAAAACACGACCTGTAATGTGACCATACAAGCGTGAGTACATCTCGGGAACCAAGATCCGGCATAATGTGGAGGAGAATCCAGCGTAGGCCTCCGCTGTGTATAATTCAAAACCAGCACGCGAGCACACGTGACGCTGCACAGGCTTGAATCTGATGTCAAGAGTGCCCATGAACCGCGTTGCACGAAGGTCCAGATGGTCACCACGGATTCGCTGGGCCAGTGTGTTGACCAACACCAGATTGTCATCCACAGATTGCTGATCGACTACCATGACTAAGACTGCTCAAGCATCAGCCGACACCGCTCGCTTCTGGTAAGCTTGAGCCAAAATGGCTTGAGCCAAAATGGCCATTGACTTCTGGCTCTGCCGACATGATGAAGATTTGTATAGGCCGATCTACAAAACCAATTCAACCATCTACTAGAACTACTAAGATGGCCTTCCCACTGGGTGTTGGGCGCTCTCAAACTCAACTGCAAGCGTAGTACTAGAACTTAGACCGTGCCCGCAAACTCTATTTGTCACCACAATTTGGAAGACCGACCCCCATGAAACCATGTGCGACTCTTCGGCTGAGTTGCACCACACGCACCAGCCGAATCAATCGGCAGAAGCGCAGAAGGGAGGAGGCGAACATGTCGTTATCCAGGCCCCCCACTGCCTCCCAAACGTTCGGTGTATCTCAAAGTGGCGTCGGGCTTTGGCTTCGCGGCGTTCCTTTAAAGCGATCCCCAAAAAAGGGTACCTTCAAACGACACACCTTCGGGTTGGCCTCAAACAAGCAGCGCCAAAATCTGAAGTTTGTAGAATTCTTGAATCCCACCCAAAGCACTTGAATGTTGGCTGGAAAATGCCACAAAAAGAATAGCCCCGGATTGAAAATTCAGGAATATGAGGAGAAACGTGAATTTGCGCTTCCCTTCCATCTTACAGGAAGGCTCTTTTTCACAACCGGAACACACGTCTGGTTGTCCATATTTGTTATTGTTTGCCCTAAACACACTGTTCGATCACCATGCCGCAGAACGTTGGAGCAGCGGGGGTTTAAAACCCGGGCTGACTTCTGGCTCTGCCAGTCTGAGCGCCCAATGGTTGTTTATATGGGCCCGTTCTGCAAATGCCCATGAGACCACATAGAACCATGTGGACTTTCATCAAAGTGTACGAAAGGAGTAGGAGGTTCTTAAATTGGGTGTTTCTCCAAATGGGAGTTGGTCCTCTAAAATGGTTGCTTTCCTTTGGTTTTTTCTTATTATACCAACCCACAAAGGTCCACCATTTTGAGAAACTTCCAAATGGCTCAAATGTCCTAGCGGTTTCAATCCCAAGGAGTTAGCTTTGGTTGACAGGTACTTGCTCCTGCCTGCATGGTGACATCCGTGATGCCGGTCAACATCAGCAGGAAGTCAAACCTGCCGGCAGAATCCTTTTGTGCTGCCCGCCAAGGTGACACTATGAGATGGGTACGTGCCAAAATACGCAAGACAGGGAGTCCCAAAATTGCGGCTTTCCTTTTGGTTCCCCTTTGAACTAGTAAAACACTCACACCCACCGGGAAGAAGTTCAATGGAGACGTTGCTGAACATATCGCTGGCTCAACCTTCTGCAGGAGTCCAGCGAACTAAATCACAAAGATTTGTTCCAGCTGAGCAAAAATCAGAGCCAATCGAATGTTGCATGCTGTGGATGCACGAAATCCGTTCGCACACAGTAGTGTTCATGGCCATATGGTCTCACCTGCATGTCTATGTGTGCATAGTCATTCCCGGAGTGCAACAAATGTACTGACTGACGCCAACAATGTCAAGTCTGAAAACTCTGTGCAGGCGGAACTGGCTGGCCCTCAAGTTCAGCCAAATTGCCAACTCACAAGCCCGATTCCTGGTTTGACCCCAATTCACCACATCATGGTGTCATGCTTCCTTGACGATGTATGAATTCAGCCAGACTTTGTTTCCAGTCAAGTTGCCTATTCCAAGTTGCCCAGTCATGTCAAGTGTTTCAAGTCGCCAATTCCAAACATTTTTTAGTCTATTCAAGCCAAGTTGCCAGTTCCACAGCCAGTCGGGGCCGCAGGCAAACTCCCGAAAGCCGGACAAATACAAGCGCATGGCGCTTTCCAGAAGAAGAAAAAAGGCCAAGATGCCTGGCAAAGTCGCATCTGTGGACGTCCATGTGGAAAAACCAGCCCTTTGTTTGTTAGTTTGATCTTCAAGGGACCCTCAGCAAGAAAGGAAGAAACGGGCACCGCTGGGTGTCTGGGATGACCAGGCATCGCAACAAGATTGCCTCACGCCAGAAGGAACAGCATGCACAAGCAAAAAATGCGGACGCATAGCGCAAGAAGTACCAAGCACAACCAAACAAATCAAGGCTCCATGGGTCTGTGCGACTCAATGAACAAGTGCAGCTGCCTTCCATGTACTTCCAGCCGGCCCATCCCTCGAAGGTCCGATCAGTCTGAAAGCCAATCATGATGCCATTCACCTCAGCCGGCCATGATCGGCCATGCGCTCCTGCTTCACTGATTCACACGCCCCGACTTGATAAGGAACTTGCGAAAAAAAACAATCAACGTGAAGGAGCCCTTTTTAGGGGGAAGGGAATCACCAGCTGTCTCGGAAGAGAAGGCGATAGCTCCATGATTGAATGACATGCCAGCAATCGGCTTGTCCCTAATACTTACCGCCGTCAAGTCCGAGACCCAGGACTCCAAGCACGCCATTTCACACAAACACATTCATTACGTTTTGGCTTTACCAGTATGGATATAACTTGCGGAATGCTTAAGGCTCAGGGGATAGGTGGGATTGTTGGAAAGTGCGGGGATTTGGACTCCTGATCGGCCTTAGCTGAAAGGTGCAACATGTGATGCGAAATGCCGGCCCAAAAGGCAGTCATAAAACTACCAGCCCAAGAGTGGTTCTTTGTCACGGAAAATGAACGCCTTAAGCAATCCACCAGACCAAGACTCAAAGGACAAAAAGTCCTTACCACCACCCTGAATCTAGGCAGTCTTTCCCACCTCCTTTGGCCTTCGAGCCCTAACTTATGGCCAGGCTGCTACAATCAGGACGGCGACAAACGGCTCGATGTACCTGAGTTTTCGCCAACTGCGCACTGGCTGAGACTATCCTCTCACGAATCTGGTCCCCAAGCTTCTCATCAGGGATATCAGGGTACGTTTGTTGGGCTACTCAGGGAAGCTATGCGTCGGGGGGTTCCCCCATTTAGAGACAGACTCATCTCGAATAAAAAGCGCCGAAAGCATGCCGCCACGTTGCATGAGAGGGTTGATGGGCTCCGGAGGAGCCGCTAGATCATTGATTCGCACCTGGAGCTCGCTTTGCAACAGAATCACGCAAAACAAGAAGGGAAAGGGCAACAGAGACGAACTTCACAACCCACGCAGGCGAAATCATGACAACTCAATCATAGAATGCATGAGTGACATTCAAACTAAATTGCTGTATCGGCTAGGATCTTGAGTGAGGCAATTCTTCAGCACTCGATGTGGGCATTCCGACTTGGTGACAATCCCACCTCAAGAAACACAATTCGATTGCAACATGGTTTTCCCCATTTTTCAGCACATCCAGTGCAGGAGTAATCACAATTGCATGCTACTTGCACAAGCAACTGTGCTAAGCATTGTACAGTTCACTCTCTGGATATCGTAAGCGGGAGCCGACGCCTTTGTATGTGTGCATTGCTTCTGCGTGTTGTTTTGGGCGCAAAACAGATGCAACAAACACTCAACGTCTCATCAGTATGTTGTGTCTTGGCATGTCTTGGCATGTCTTGGTATGTCTTGGTATGTCTCGGCGTGTCTAGGCATGGCTGTATTTTCCTGGTATGTCGTGGCATGTGTTAACATGTCTTACAGTAGTATGTCCTGATATGTCCTAGACAGTCTTTACATGTCTTGATATGGCTTGGCATCTCGGCGTCTTGATATGTCTTGATGTGTCTTGATATGTCCTGGCGTGTCGTGGCATGTCTTGGCAGTGGCATGTTGTGAAATATGTCCTGATATGTCTTAGCCAGTCTTGGCGTAGCATGTGTTGATACGGTTTGGCATCTAAATGTCTTGATATGTCTTGGCATGGCGTGGCATGTCTCATGTCTTGACACGTACTCTTGGCATGTCTTGATATCATATTTCGCATGTCTAGATATGGCTTGGCATCTCAATGTCTTGCCATGTATTGGCATGTCATGCATGGCGTGCCATGTCTTGGTATGTCTTTGCATGTCTTGCTCACTCGTTAAAACTTGGGCCTGACTGGTTCCTGTCGGCTTCAGTCTCACTCAAACATGGCAACCTGGTGTTTTCAAAAATGGGTGTGCCCCCATACCTGATGGGAAAATGGTTGGCTTCCTCCGAGTGTCCATGTCAACACAAGCCCAACCCAACAGCTCCAGTGGTTTTGCACGGAAAAACAGGCACCTTAGGGACCTTGTCCGGGGAGTTGGTTTGAAAGAGGTTCCAGCGCCTTTTGTGCGGCAGTTGTTTGCGAGAGGTCCTCCTACAAAAGAAGGGAGAACAAGTGGCGCCTGTTTGGGTAGCTGGATTTCAAGGCATTCCCCCCCAACAAAATAAATAAGCAAGGCAACTCGAGGTTGTTTGCTTGTGCTTGGGAACCAAAAGGCCGCCCTGCTTGGGTAGTTTGTTGTTTTTGCAGGCAGCCCACCCGCCCTGGAAAAACAAAGATAAAGGAAACAACCCACAGAGTCCCGTCCCTATTTTCCCCCTTTCAGCATTATCCCACAAAGAATCAGCCATGTTCGAAGCCAAGGGAAATGTTGACAATTGGGGCCCCCATGGCCGCTGGGGCGCAAAGGTAAGCTCTGCGACCAGGCGATTCGTGTCGCCCGCCAAGAGGATCTCCTTCATGGCCTCTGGATTTGGACCATCTGTGTCAGGGCCAAATGTCTTGACATAGGGATTCGGACCCAAATGGTTTTCCCCGTGTGGCTTCCCTTGAAATCAAAGCGAGAAGGGTACCGTCACAAAAACGAAAAGAGGGCCAGTCATCTCAAGCGCAGACGACTCGAGTGAGGACAACGCAGCGTGGAATCCATGTCGAGTCTGTTGAGTGAAGGCAGAGGGGTAGAAAACCAACTAAGATTGAACCAAGCCCTGTAATACCACCAGCGGATACGTGTTTGAGCGGTCTCACACCATATCACTGTGCAACAAGTGCATCTTTGTTGTCTGGAGGCATCTGAAGCACACTCCAGCCCCGTACGTTGACAGTTGGTTCCAGGAAAGGCAGGAACTCGGCACACACACACAAACACGAACACAAGCACGAACATGCGAACATGCGAACATGCGAACACGCAAGCACACACACAAATGAGATCAAATGAGCACCCTGGGACCCTTTTGGCTCTCTCTTTGCTTGTGACATGCTCATGGTGGCCTAGGGCGAGGTTGACTTTTGGTTCCATGGTAAAGGGCTTGCTCAAGCCTTATCCCTTGGAATCAGGGAGTAAACCAACGCGAACTTGATGCCACATGTGGCGCGGTCAAAATTTGCCATGTAAGGCTGTAAGGAATCTGTAAATTTGTGCTGCCTCTGCAGAAAACGCGGGTGGCTGTTCCTAAGCAGCTCTCCGCGATTTCTCGATCGGATCGCCTGAAACTGCTTTCTGTTGACGGGCCCGAAGATCTTCTTGTGCAGGTCTGGGTCACGAGCCAGGAAGAGGTCCATGAGCGCCTGAGATCTGACTCTGATCCAAGACCAAAGAAGGAACCCAGAAGCCGCAAAGAGGCGAGTGGTGACAGCCACCTTTCAGGTTCCATGTGCGGGAGGGTGCTTGCAATTGATTCGGTTCTGTTGCAGGTGGGAAAACAAATCCTGCCAACATATTCTGGTTGGCGAAGTGGCGCTGACATGCGAATGGTGTGGTGCAGTGTTCTCACGCTAGCCGGTCAGTCTGGCAAACCTGGGCGTGTTGATGCATCCCCTGTTACATGCCCTTTGGGCGAATGACCCCAAAAGGCTTGCTGTTCATACCCCTCTCCCCAAATGGGTATATACCCAATTCAATGTGGGTGAGTGACCACGGAGACAAGGGGTATGAAGGCTATGTAGTTCCGCTTGACAAAAGTGCGTGCTCGAAAGAGATTAACTATCGGAGCGCCTCACGATGCAAACCAAACCAGGTGCGGGACATATGTGTTTGTCTTCAAATGGTGGAAACTCGAAATTGTTGATTTCTTTTTGGTCGCCATTTACGACCACCCCAGAAAGGGCACCCTCAAAAAAGATACACCCATATGGAGTGACCTGACTCGCACAAATCGGAGGGTGTTGATTTCTCTGCAGACCGCCTGCTGGAGAGGCCGACCTGCGCCAAAAGGGTGCAGTACCCTTTTCGGGTAAAGGGAAGCGATGACCCTGGTTGAAGAAGAATTAGAACCCTTTCGGAGCATTGCTTCCATTGTGAGTGGGTCTCGAAAACGCAAACTGTTTAAACAAAAACAGTTTGGGAATTTAAGGGTGGAATCCACGGAACAAATGGGATGCCGTATTGGCTTTGGCCATCGTCTGAGAAAGAAGCATGGTTTCCTGGAAATAATAATTCGTGCAAATATGAGCTAAAACACTACCTCATTCGAAAGTACAGGGTATAACAGGAAAAAGGAAACACATTGAAGATGCCGCGATGCCTGCAATGGGACCACATTGAAGCTGCTTCTGGCTGGGAGATCTGAGGTGTTGATCTCCCGACTGGCCTCGGGCACAAGAACACGTGCCTCCGTCAGTGTCCTTTTGGCTTCCCTTTCAGCCAGAGAGATACCGTGAGACAGACAAACAAACAGACAGACAGACACGCAGACAGACAGGCAGGTAAGCAGGCAGGTAAGCAGGCAGGCAGCAGAACAGAACAGAAGAGAACAAACAGACATGCAAACAGAACGCAGACATGCAGCCAGCCAACCAGCCAGCCAGGCAGGCAGGCAGGCAGGCAGGCAGACAAATGGACACACAAACCCAACAAAACAAACACACGAACACAACACAAACATATATCCACACACACACACTAGCTACCCTCCCCGATGAAAAGAGGTCCCTGGTTTTGGACCATTTCCTTCAGGGAAGATGGCCGTTGCCCCATCTTGTGAGGCCGCCCTCCCACCCTACTCCCACAGAAGCCCCGAACGAGCCCTCCCAGCGCCCATGCTTTTCAAAAAGACCCAAGGCCTTTGACCTGCAAAACGCAATTGTTGGCCTTGCACAAAGCGGAGATTCTACCAGCCTCACTCGCCTGTCGCACAGCTAATCTGAGCTGCCCAAGTAAAGGACCTACCTCATGGTGAGCCCGCGTCTCCCCCAGCTGAGCTCGCCATAACATAAACAAACTTGATGCTTCGGTTTGCGCCCAGCTTGACCAAGTGCACATCACAAACATATCTTCCCAATGTAGTGGCCGCGCGTCTTGGCCCCGTGGACCCTTTCTTTCATAAACGAAAGCCAGGCTGTGACTTTAAACAAACAACATGATGAACATGAACAGCTGATTCGGCAAAGCCACAATGCCCTGTCTCTGATTCACCGTCGTGGAACTTCGGGCTCAGCCAAATCTATAGTTGAGTTCTTGCTGCTTCAAACGACACGTGCCCCTTCGCTAGGAATGCTTCAGAAGCACGCCTCAAGGATCTTCAAGGCAAACTAACTAGTGATGAACAAAAGCAGTGGATACACAGCCAAATCCCGAACTCATCAGCCTGACATCCACAAACAAGAACTCCTCATAAGTACTTTGTCAAGCGGATAGGGCTCAATGTCGGCAACATTCGAAGGTGCCAGGATCTAGCAGAAAGCTGTTCGACAGTCAATGCTAGCGGATTTCATTGGCCTCGTAAAGCACCCCCTCATGCGCAGAACTTCAAACATCTAAACCTGGACCCTCACACTACAACCTACGAATTGGACACTACCCCATAATCAAAGAGGGTTTCACCCCAGACCCCTGGACCATGCCCCATAAGGTGCCCAAAGAGTAGATAAGGGGGAAACGAATAAACAAAATTAAATAGAATGTCAATTAGTAAGCCCCAACCAAGACTGAAAAGACATATTGCTTTGGGGTCTGGACTGAGGGGAAATCTGTGGCATGTGGAGGTCCAGGAGCAATGTCTCCAAGGCGCAGAACGGGTGAACTCGGCGTCCCTGGGCCAGTTCCACACTGGGCGCCCCAGGTTGCGCTCGTTCTCCTTGGCTCATCAGAACTGAGCCCCCAACACCCTCCTGCAAGAGGCTACCTAAAAACCCCAAGCTACCCCGCAAAAAGAAAAACAACAGATGCCCCAAACTACCCCGAAAACAACATGGATATTGCCCCAAAGCTATGGAGTACGCCTTCATACTTTTCCTAGATCTTTCGAGCGAAGTGGGAAGAATGAAACATGGAAGCTCATGGTCCATTCCAGTGCCTTGCGAACAAGTAATCAATCTCCTTTGACTACATTATTTGCAGCGCATAAGTAGGGCATGTGCTGTCGGCTATGCATGTTTCGGAGTGTTGAAGGTGCTGCCACGTCCAGTCTGCGTGTAGTCTCTTCATCTGTCGGGTACTCAGATGCGGACATCCCTCCAAACGTGAACATGATGCGCTTTGAATGCAACACCTGTCCGAAAGGAAGCAGGGCTTTAGCTGTTCTATCCTCCGGCTCGTAACACCTGTGTAATCAATTTGTGGCCCCACGCATAGTCCAATTCACGAAGGAACATAGATTCTGGGCAACTACTACAATTCACAAGCCGAATATAAGGAATCCCCCTAGTGGGGGACTTGCACCATGGGTGCGCAATTGATGCCCGCAGATGAGCTTCTTACAATTTGTACAGCTAGCTGTTCTGCTGAGTCTGCCTTCTCCTGCCTCCTGCATGTCCAAACCCTGTGCTGATCAACTGTCTCTGTTGAGAGCTCAAGCTGGGCAGCAGCTTCTGAGGGGCTCTCCATAGTTCCCCTTTGAACGTCACCCAAAGGAAAGTCAGTTCACATCTGCTCAAAAGGTGATGCTACAAGCCGGGAGATGTTGGGACCGCTTCTTTTCGGCCAAGGTGCCCAAAACGACTTGTTGATCCCTGGGGAGTTGCTCCTGTGGTAGTCACCATCTTTGTCCTGGCACTGGGAATGATACCGCGGCTTGGAAGAACTTCTGGACAAGGCAAACCTGGGGGTTTGTGTCAACATAGGGCGCCCCCAAAAACAGCGGCTGTCCTTGTGACTTCCCTTTCAACCAAAACGAACAAGATGTCCTCAAGACAAGACATGATTGGCCCAGAAAATTTCCCAGGTTTAGACCCATGCCCCGTTTGGATTCTACCAGCGTTCATGCACTCGGTCTCGCATGGCTGAAAGACCGAGTCAACATGACTTGCTGCCGCTGCCACCTTGCAAAGATCCCAGGCATTCAATGGAATGACTGCAAGCCGGCAAACCGCTTTCCATTTGTACAGCTCGGGGCTGAAAAAAGAAGGAATTTGCCCATAAAGGATCATAAAGCGAGGCGGCATCACAATCTAACGAATAATGGACACTGGGTGTTTGCACAGCAGTTACTGACCTGAGCACTTGAGCATGGGGTACTAGTAACTTCGAATTGTCCTTGGTGACGAATTTCAGGTCGATGTAGTCAGCCAGCTGGTTGACCAAATCATTCACATGCTCCTGCAGTTTTTGAGCTATCCCAATGTGTCAAATATCGAGCCAGGCAGCCATATTTCCGCATCCACTAGATGTGACAAGACAGCGGGAAAATGCACAGCGGAGCTGCGGGCAGTCCTTTCAAGATCGTAATCATAATTGCTCTGTGGGACCCCTCCCCCGCTATTGACAGAAAGCATCAAACATGTGTCTTGAGTATAGTTGTTCCGCAGTCTCAACCAAACAAACACAAAACATAATATGCATCACAATGCCATCATTTGTTCTCTGGGAAGCAGCATTAGCATCGCCTTTTCCGTGCATGCTTCGCCTTTTGCATGCATGCATGTATGTATGTATGTACGTATGTATGTATGTACGTACGTACGTATGTATGTATGTATGTATGTGTGTGTATGTGTGTGCATGTGTGTATGCATGTAGTCATGTGTGCATGTGTGTGTGTGTTTGCAGGTATGTATGTATCTGTTTATGTGTGTATGTGCGTTGTGTCGTGCTTGCTCACGCATGCATGCATGCATGAAATTGCATTGCATTGCATTGCATTGCATTGCAATGTAATGTAATATGTATGTATGTATGTATGTATGTATGTATGTATGTATGTATGTATGTATGTATGTATGTATGTATGTATGTATGTATGTATGTGGATGCGTGTATGCACGTATGTATGTATGCATGCATGTATGTCTGTGTGTGTATGCATGTGCGTATGCGTGTATATGTGTGTGTATATGTGTGTGTATATGCGTGTATGCGGGAATGTGCATATGTATGTGTGTGTGTGTGTGTGCATGCGTTCGTATGTGTGTCTGTATATATAATATGTATGTATGTCTGTGTGCGTGATATGTGTGTGGGTGTGCTGTATGTGTGTCTGTGTGTGTGTGTGTGGGTGCGTGTATGTGTGTGTGTGTGTGTCTGTGTGTGTGTGTGTGTGTGTGTGTGTGTGTGTCTGTGTCTGTGTCTGTGTCTGTGTCTGTGTCTGTGTCTGTGTCTGTGTCTGTGTCTGTGTCTGTGCGTGCGTATGTGTGTGTGTGGGTTTAGGGTGGGTTTGAGGTGGGCTTGAGGTGGGCTTGAGGCAGGTTTTGGGTGCGTTTAGGGTGAGTTTAGGATGAGATCAGCATGCATGCATGTATGATGGATGGATGGAGGAAGGGATGCATGCATGCATGCAGGATGCAGGCAGCAGCCAGGCAGGCAGGCAGGCAGGCAGGCAGGCAAGCAGGAATGATACGGTATGGTATGGTGAGGGAGGGCATGGTACAGCATGGTATGGTATATGATGTTGCGTTATGCAATGCAATGCATGTCTATACATATCTAGCTATGCCTCTGGACCAATCCACAGCACATGGAGAACAGTATTGAGTTGCGCATCACGACACCATATATTATGGCAGCGCCAAACATGACATGCGCATGTGCCCGCTGCGTGGTTGCAATGCCTCGTAGAACTGATACTTGCCATGTTTACCAACAAACATGAAAGTGTACAGATAGGTTTTGGAAAACTAGTGTCGTCTTGAAGAGACCCCTTGTTCACTTTGAGGATTGTTGGAAAGAGGGTAACATCATGACAGCGTCACACGCCTCCGTGTAGGTGGTCAGGCCAAGGGCTTCAATGGCGTCGTGCAAATTCCTCAAACTCTTCTGCTCGGCAGGCGGGAGATAGAGAGCGAGAGAAGAAAAAGAGCCGTCGAGAAGAAAGAGAGAGAGAGAGAGACTGAGCACAGGGCATGTCAAAATATGGTGGACGCCACAAATGGTTGGTTGTCCTTTAACGTCCCTTAAAACGCAGCACACACCCACAGGGAGGGAGAGAGGGGGAAAGATCTAGGCAAGGCAGCGAAGAAGTTTCTCGAGCTGGTGCATCTGAACAAAAAACTAACCGACTACGTGCGAAGATTGGGAGACACATAACAGAAGTTTAGGTTGCAGCCATGATCATGCGCCAAAGTGTAGTGTGGCCATTGGGACCATGTCAGCCTTTCGTAATACCCAGCCATGATGCCATTGACTTACAGCCTGAGCCAAAGCTTGATGATCCGAAGATACATGTCAAATCCTGATGCGCTGTACACTGCACTGAAAACAAAGATATGCTGAGCCTTCTGGCATGTTTGCTTCTTCTTCCTGCTTGTCCTGCTCTAGCGCATCATACGGTGCTTTACATGAGGATATCAAAGCCTACAAGAATTACAACATCAAATCGGCTGTCATTCCTTCAGTTGTTGTTGCTTCAGATCTTCCTCTTTCGGCTGGCAAAGGACGCCTTCACACTCTTTGTGAAGCATTGGCATGAAATAGACCCATCACCAAGCCCCCGCGAAGCGCCGTGGCTGTCGTGTCGTGTTGTGGCTGCTGCTGTGGCTCCATGAAGCATGATGGGTTGTTCTCCATATCGAGGAAGGGCTTTGGGACATCTCTCCAATTTTGGGGCCAAACCCAACCAACCAGAATTCTTGATGTCAACATATTAAAAATCCCACCACTATCCACATGACCACACACGCTGGGCCACCTAAATCTAGCAACCCCGCAGAAAGGACCCTACATGGGATTGTCGAAAGAGCCAGCCACTGCTCATTGCGCCACTGCTCATTGCGTCGAAAGAGCCACTGTACTTAACAAACCGGAAATACGGAAGCCCCTGGTGAACGACCTCATTCATCATGGGTGAGCTCGTTACAATTTGTGCAAAGGCAATTTGAGCAAGCAAAACCTAAGACTACTTTAGGCGATTTCGAGCAGGAAGTTATCTTTTTTAGGGCTTCACTATATCGTTCTCCAATGTTTCAGACATGGTCGTGCAAGGTTATCAATTTTCGGGCTTCGCTATATCGTTCCTGAGAGAAAAACAACGTGAAATCACGGAACACATATTCTCTAGTTGAGAGAGTTTAGCCTTTCACTCATTTGCATGTCTGAAACTAAGGTCTAGTCGGCGCAGTGCGGCTGAAACTCAGCTCCCATTGGAAGTAATTCATCAGGGGTAGGTGAGTCAAATCACTTGACGCCAAGACTCTTTCCGCTAATCAGCTTCTTCAAAGACACAGCGCCCAGTCTCAGCCGCAGCCGGTGACGAACTGCGTTCGTCTGCGGATCCTGCGGAGCTTCATTCAGGCGAGTCTGGGCAAATGAAGGGGACTGGTTGCCTAAAAGCAGGCTGTACCCTGCTCGGATCACTACTGAGCCCCAGTAAGAAGTTCGTTGATGGGAGGGTATCCGGGCAAACTTTGGTATCCGGGAACCGGAAATGAGGAATCCCCAGGTAAGCTTCATGGGTGAACCGAGCTCACTCCCAAATGAGCGCGGTACGATTTGCCGAAATGACATGGTCACAGCCACATCAGCCTGAGAGTCACAATTCAAAACTTGTACCCAACTGCATGTAAAGAACGAAAAGGACGGCCGCACCAATTTAGTGTTGACAGTGTCCCCCTACTAACCTTCTATTCGGGTTTTGATTGTGGCTCACCGGAGAACTCATACCCTCAAAGGTCAAGCTCCTGCAGGGCAATCTGCGGGCCGGCAAAGCTCTCCTCTTGCTCCTGCTCCTGGGCATCGCTGCATCGCTGGGTTTGTAGCACTGCCATGCATTGCCCAATCGCTAAAACATAGCCTGTAAGCAATAAATGGAAGACAACGGAAACATCAACCGCCATGGAAGGAGGGACGCTGTTGTAGTTGTGGATCATTTTAAACGAAACACATACATCAAGAGCGCACCTCCTACCCAGACCTTCAGGTTCTTTTGTCCTCCTTGTTCAACTTTGTTGTTTATCCTCTGAATCAACCCCAAAACAAGAATCTGTCGATCTCAACGATTAAATCAATCATTAATGATGTCATGACTCTATGCCGAGCCAACCAAGATGCCGCTCAACAGGAGGGAGAACGAATCACGTCTAGCAGTGCTCTGTTCCAACATGCTCGGCACGGATTGATAGGGCAGCCATTGATGTCCGATTGAGCCGTGGCAAAAGGACCTATTATCCACTGGGAATCCATGGTTTGAAGGTCCTCAAAGCAAACACCACCTGCTTTACAAGGAAGAACTGGCCCACATGCATCCTTTGAGGGAGCCTGTTTGCCCGCTGCTCGGGGAAAGTGTAGTGGGGGCCTCAATAGCTGATGTTGATGAGACCAAATACAAGCCAACCATCTGGACGAATGTGTTCATCCTAACACAAGCAAACAAACGAATCAACGAACAACAAAAACAAACAAACAAACAAACAAACAACCAAGCAAAACAAATGGAGCAAGCAAGAAAGCAAGCAAACAAACAAAACAAGCAAGCAATCAGCAAGCAATCAGCAAGAGACAAACAAGCAGACAGACAGACAAAACAAACAAAACAAGAAATAAACAAGCAAAGAAAGTCAGCTTCCCATTCCTTCAAAAAACGCGCACTTCCAAACAAAGGACCTTGACTCAAACAGCGAAGGGAGTGCTTCCACCGTAGACAAGGCAAATTTGGCATGATTTGTCTTTGCCTAAAATGTGCTTCTGTTTCTACGGGTGGTTGACACCAACAACGTTAGGAGCGCTTCCGTCAAACGTTACACTTGCAACTTGAAGGATCTTTGAGCCAAACTGGGGGACGTTTGCAGGTCCAGTCACGTCCTGACAATAGCTGTGATCCGAGCCATCGCAAATTGCCATAGCGGAATTGCTGCCAGAGCTTCAGAAGCCCCTGAGATTCGGCCATTCTTCAGGTTTTTGTTCGCCTGCAAAGCGCGAAAACTGACTAAGTCGAACGAGCACAGAAACTAGATTGTTGATTTGGCTCTGTGCAATTAATCGTCTATGAATCAAACTGCTGGCCTTCCTTTCACTTTCCACGGCACTGCTTGGCTTTTCGCGTGGCCAAACCCCAAAACGCCGGGCACACACTTGCCATGGCATGCCTCTCCCCACCGTCCAAATTTGAGGTAATCCAACAAATAATTGCTTCTGTTCCATAATTTTGGCTACCCTATGTTTCTGTTCCGGTATCATCAAATTCTCATGACTATTTTGGAAGCGCACTTTTTGGAGCAGACGTGGTCTTTCATACAAGTTCCACTGACGCCGGTACCTCAAAGCTCGAAAACTCGGACTTGTGCTTCGTCACCACGCTGCCGTCTTCGTCGACTTTCTCGCTGTCGCTCTGAGACCGTAAAGTGTCCTGGGCCTGGGAAACTCAGACTCCAACCTTTCACTTGATCTGTCTGCAAATAGCTGTGTCTTTCAGTGGAGGATACCATCTCCTCGTGTTTGGTTTATTTCGTTGCTTTGTTTTTGGGGGGGTCAAGGGAAACCAACATGAACCACTGATGTTTTGGGCGGGTCCGAATCCCTATATGGAGACCAAGCCAAATGCCCAAACATGTGCAGACTATGGTCGTGCCATGAAAACCCAATGCCAATGCGCACCAAAACCGTGTGAGGGGCTTCCTCTGGCCGCGGTGCCTCGGAATTTGGGGACCCGCCCATAGTGGGTTTCATGTTGGTTTCGCCTTGAACCAACCCGAAAAGCGAGAAAAGGGCACCAACTCCAAACGACACACCTTGCCACATCTGCAATTGATTGATCCTCTGGCATTGGCCGTGAGAGGGTCGCACTGTCGAATCAAAAGGCAAGCTGCTGTGCAGCGAATCATGGCTGGTTTGTGCGAGGAAGCAAGCCCAAAATGGTTCAATCACTCAATAAGGTATAATTAAACAAGTGAGTTGTGACAAATGTGGGAACCTGCGCCTTGCTTTTCATTTGATACATAAAGAAACACAAGAGCCTGCTTCACACATACATTTAAGCTATTCCCGGGGACCTGTGCGTTCGCCAACCTCATGACAGGCACGCGGATTTTATTGACTGGGGTCAGTAATTAGTTGCCGCTCGGGGGTGAGACTTTAATGACTTTCACCATATGGAGCAAGGACGACGTTTTGGAGCAAGGACTGTGGGCTTCGAGGGGAGGGGGAAGACCTGAAACTCAAACTCTATAGGATGGGGCGGGGGGTTCTGGCTGGGGGTGGGGGAGATCTCCAACTCACACTTTAGGACGGGGGGTTTTCAGGCCTTGCCAGGGGGCCCGCCAACCCACACTTTAGGTTGAGGGGGTTCATTCGGACGGGAGAACACTAGCTCGCACTTTAGGATGAGAGGTTTCGGGTTTCTGCGGGAGACTGTCGGGCAAACGTGGGGTTCCCAGCGGACATATTCAGAACAATAGCAACTACTCGATTCTGGCAACCCAGGAAGCCTCAAAAATGAGCCCCTTGTTCTTGGAGTGTCCTCTTTTGAAATCCGTACCACCGGCGTAACCAGGCTTATTCCGCTGTTGCCCTGGGCACGGGGAATTTCTGACGTGTGAGAGAGCCTTCCCCATGTCCAAAGAATTCCCAAGGTACCTTGACCCTTCCGTATTCCTCAAAACCCATCCTCGCAAAGTACCTGGCCCCTCTGAGACTCTGGGCTAATTTGAAAGCACGCGCTGGCAACTCTCGAGTATCATGTATATATATATATATCATACATATTTGTAGATATCAATATATTATATATCTTATGCATGGTGTACAATGCTTTTTCTCTGCTCCTGCAAATCCAAGCTGCAACATCCGACATGCTATGCAGCACTGGATCCTGGGCTGCAATCTGCCAAGCAAGGAAAGTGACACACACACACACACACACGCACACACACACACACCCACCCACCCACACCCCCACCACCGCACACGCACGCACGCACGCACGCACGCACGCACGCACGCACGCACGCACGCACGCACGCACGCACGCACGCACGCACGCACGCACGCACGCACGCACGCACGCACGCACGCACGCACGCACGCACGCACGCACACCCACACCCACACCCACACCCACACCCACACACACACACACACGGCTGCCGACAGTCCCGCATTTTATTTATTTTTCACACAGTTGAGTCCTTGAAACTTTCAGCTGCGTCCACATTGTACCCTTTTTAGAATTATCAGTCTGTTGCTTGCTGGCATTTTTGCTGGTGTGTGTAAGTTCTGATGCATCCCTGTGTGATTGTGTGTGTGTGTGTGTGTGTGCGTGTGCTCGTTGTGCTCCTTGCATCATGATTGTTCTTGCTGGCAAACCCATCTGTTCACTTTTTTAGGGTGCATCCATCTGCCTATTTTTTGCCATGGCCGTGGGTTGTCTTGCTTTTTCGTGAGTTGAATCTATCCTTTCGTTCGCTGTGCATTTTGTGATGTGTCCATGTGTCCTCTCGCTTGACATCGCTTGACTCATGCTTCCATGTGCTCCTTGTTATCCAGTACGACGGTGAGAGGGGCGATCAGAGACTGAGTTGACGGCATGAAAGGCACCGCCAAGATGGCCAAGGCGCTGAATTCTGTGATGAATCAATCACCAGCTTGGTGTCCGGTGCCATCCTGGCAGGTATCATGAAGCGTCGAAGAAATCCAAAAGGACTGTGGGGTGAGCAGTTGAATGGGTTCCAACAAATGGCTTCCTTTGCTGATGCTACGCACATGCTTGCCCTTTGGTGCAAGCTGGAACCCGCTTGCCAGAAACTGTTAAGGGTCCCCTGAATCTGGTCCAATCGTGTGATACAAATCATCTGCCTGCCCTGTTCTATCAGTTGGGCCTTAAGAGTCATGTGAAATGTCGAAACGATGAAGCAAACGAAGCAGGGTTGTGGGAATTGTCCGCTTCGGGGGGATCCTGGTATCACCAACCCCTGTTCCAAGTACCCAAGCTTCCGACACAGTGTGGAATTCATCTCGTAGATCGAACGCAAAGGCCAGTCAAACAAGCAGCAATTTCTGGATTTACAGGTCCCGTGCAGTATATGTTCGACTTTTTATGAAAAAACACTGTTCAGCTGGGAACAAAGGGAAACCAAAAGGAAAATCGCTATTTTGATTGGCTGGTGCATGGAAACCTCCTGCTTGCTCGTTTGCTTGTTGTTCTGTGATAACATAGATCACCGCTGCTCATGTTGCTCGTCCCCAACTTCCAGCCAGTTGGGGGTCTCGATTTTTTGGCACAGCCCAAAAGCTGCGAAACAGCCAGCCTCTCCCATGTGGTGAAGAGCGGTGCAGGAGCGCTTGCATTCACCACCTCGAATCGGTCAAGTTCTCGACCGAGAGGTCCACTCTCTCAGAAACCAGCAGGACATTTCATTGGAAACTGTTACAGGGTATCCTTGTTGGGTGTAGATTTGTGTTGTGTTGTTGTTGGGTGTCTTTTTTGTGAATTGCCTGTTAGACTTTCCAAGCCCGTAGCTGGTTGTTGTGACACTTCGACTCAAAGTCTCACGGAGGGAAGGATAATTGCACACATTCCAAGATCAGCCTGCCTGATCAAGCAACGTCCGCAAGCATGAAACT